CATGCGATACAGTTTAACTTGAAAATCCGACCACCTGCTAAAGAGGCGACTCATGGGAGCACATGTACTCAGCGAGCCCTCGATGCTCATAATCATGAAAACATCGCATCGTTATCGAAATTTCGACAAAACGCACAGCTCTACGATCACGCGCCACGCTACCTGTTCGTGCAAATTAATTAACTCATGAGACATTAGCGCCCAAGGGCGACCTTAGGAACAGCTGGGATCAAGGCCCCAACCACGACTACCGCGTTCTCGTAATTAGTAGTAATAACAATCCGAAATCGGCGGCCGACGGCCGCATCTGCATTGGCCGGCGGCGAGTATAGCAGCAGGTCAAAGTTGGCCACTCCCCTGCACAGTTCCTATACGGTCGGTGATGCAGAGCGCCGGTTGCAGCGCACTTGTGCATCCAATAACACGTTGATTGGAGTTCGATGACCAAACACCGCCGTCGTTCATATCCCCTTGAAAACGCATCGCTCGCCCTCTCGCCCACCACCAACACTGATGTAATAATCACTGAAACCATTCATTATTCAATACCCATCATACAACAAGTGGTCCCTCCCCGCCTCCCCCCTACAGCCCGGCGTAACCTGTTACACAATGAGTGGAACAGTAAATACCAGAGTAAAGTCATTAATAAAACATTGATGACTACTACAAAACCGTCTTCATTCCGACCGTTTTGTAAATTTCCGCTCTTAATCGACCAAAACTTGAGTTTTTGTTGATCCTTAGGTCGGGTTACAATCTCAGATTTGTTATGAATTTCGTGCACCATACCTCCAATGAGACCTTCAAAATTTTCTTTTTTATTCACAAAACAAACTTGAAACAGCAGTTGTTTTTAGAATTAACATGTTTTGTGCTAGAGTGGTGCACGATTCATTAGATCCGATGGTGACTCGTAACGTAAACTGAATAAAAACAATTTTAACCATAAAATGCCCGCAGATTTTCCGGCCAGAAGACTTCTTTCGTCTATAAAATGTAAAACTGGCGTTTAGAAACGAACAATAGCTTCACAGTGAAAGGTTTGGAACGAACCTTTGGAGCCTGCAGAGCCCAGTTTTAAAAATGTAGCCCTTAATTGGCTGGGGAAGGGAACCCTTGCAAAACGGCAGTATTAAAAGGACCTGGTGAGGTCGCATTGTGACCCCACGAACAGCGCGTCGACATCAGTCTCACCGTCATGCCGCCCAACCCGCGCGGCCCCGCCAACGGACTCTCGGCGCCGCCTATAAAAGCAGACGATTATTTGTAGGTGGCGTGCGCCGAGCCCTCTCTACCCCGGTCGATAATTAGGGCAAGGCCAGACGGTATGTCCAGCGGACTGTCCAGCGGGGACTCCAGTCCACTCACGAATCATTACGTCACCGGCGGCGGGTCGTGCTTCTCGTATATCGCGTGACCGCCCGTTAACTAGGAGGCAACATGAGGGGGTGATGGAGAGGCTGCAGTGCGGCTCGCTCGCTCGCACAGTTAGCACCCGCCCCGCACCGCTCCAGCCCCAGCCCCGCCCCAGCCCCGCCCCAGCCCGGCAGCAAAGCGTGGAAGCGAAGCTATGATTTCCTGTCTCATTGAAGACGGCAGCGTCGCCACCACCGTCAGGATGGAAAACGCGTGACCTCCAAAGTGGTGCAGTCAGTGGCAGCCGATAGGCAGAGGTTGAGTACAGGGGGTATAGACCGAACATGCACCCCCAAGTGTGCGCCGTGCAGCTGCAGCTCGCTCGCACCCATGTCGCGACTACAAATCAACGACAAAAACCTTTGTTTGCCACAGAAACTCCCCCAGCAGGAGTACTCTACCTCTTTTGGTTAGGCACTGGAAAATACGAGGGATCCCCCACTCCACGAGCCAACTCGTTGTACACTTGCTCGCGCCCTACTTGCGTCTCACTAGCGAAAGCTCGCTAAAAAAATCACGAAAACTCGCACCAAATTTGAGAAAAATTGAAAAAAAAACTCTTGAAAATGCGCCTGACTCGCAATATTTAGTACCTACTCGTTAACTCGATAACTCGTTATATACCTATTTTAGAAGTATTGGGGACCCCTCGGGAAAATACCCGCCCGAACAGACGAATAAAAGTGTCACCTTTTCACAATAGTTTTTACAAAACTAAAAAAAAAAAGAAGTCGATTTTATTTTACCCTCACAGAAAGTTGAATGGAGCTAGAAATTCTGTCAGCACCTAAAGCGCTCACGGTGTCACCCATTTCCATTAAAAAGAGACAGATATGCATAGCCACAGACGTGACAGGCCGTTTCGATAACAGTTTGTTTGTGACGCGTGTAACAACGCTGTAACGCTGTTCGAATCGAGTACCACACGCAGCCCCACATGGAGCAAAACTAGACGGAGACGGAATGAATGAGAAGGCGGAAGACTCGGCGGCGGAGCCTTTTTTTCTCCATCTAAGGAAACTACGATGCGTGGGAGTGAGACGGCGGCAGCAGCAGAACAGCGCTTCGGGGCGTTGTGAGCCGCCCGCCACGCCCCGCCAGGACCAGCAATCGGACCAAAACTGCGGCCTTGACCGAGTCCTGTCATTCCGCACCTCTCTCGGAAACGAGCTGCACAGCAGCAGCAGCAGAGCACTGGGGCGGGGGAGTTCCGCACGGGGTGTCGGGCCCGCGAGCTGGGCGGGGGGCGGGGCGCTTGGCGTGGTCAAAGCGCGCGGGAAAAGGGCTGGAGCGGGACGGGGAACGGACGGGGCGTGGTTTCCGGGTGTCGCTGCTGCCTGCAATGCATCAGATCAGCTTTGTGAATTAATGGCCACATTGTAGCACGGAGGTGTAAGTAGCAGTATTTATCGGGAGCGGGAGGGGGAGCTCACCGACTCCACGACGCCGCCAGGCCACGCGGAAGGTAGCAGGGAAAGGCAACCACCACGCCCCGCCACGCCCCCGCCCCCACCACGCCCCCGCCAGACAGGCTCGCTGACCTTAGGCTGCTGTTGAGCCGGATACGAAACACTTTTAGGGCTTCAGCAGCGAGACAAACGCTTCTGGTGCAGAGAGCGGGGCGAACAGGGCGGCGGGACTCCCAGGCGCTTCCGGGTCACACTTTTCATAATCTGCGATAATCTGCGTGAATGCAAGCAGGAATTTTCAAGAATTTTTAAAGCAATTCATTTTCTGATGGTTCTTGAGGTTTGTTAATTTTTTTCACGAGGCATCGCATGAACCTGGAAAAGACGTCGAAACGAAACCGTAACCACCCTAATTTTGTCGTTTTAATGTTGTTCTGATATCGTTTCGACATCACGTTTCGCAGCGAGTTGAGAAGTGAGCGCCCTCGTGCAACCATGCGTTCAAGTCTCCATGGTCGCCAGACAACAGAGGACTGAGTACCCGGTGAGGAATGCTGATATCAATGGGAATGATGTCACTCCTATATGATGTATAGTTTATCCCGTTCATTTAGTAACAGCAACAGCAGCTGTTTTTCAACCCGGCTTGACCCGGACGCGACAAACCCACTCTCTTCCTTCTCGCACTTTTGATTTCTTTCCTCTCAAAACTAATCATCCATCATCCTTCGTTTTATCGGTGCTTCTTCTTATTAGGAGGAATTAAAAGTTGATGCTTGCTTTTTGGATTACAAAGCGACTCGTTGGCCAACTCTAAATCAAACTCTCACAAACCCTCTCAGGTATTGCCGCTTTTTCGGCGGTTCAGACCACGGCTGCGCACACGCGTGCCGGTGCGAGCCGGAGCGAGCCGCGCCGGGCCGTCGAGTCGAGCCGCAGCCAGTTCGTGCGGCCGCGCCATATCGGAACGCAGCGCGACGCGACGATATCGGAGGCCCCATCATGTCACCGCCGGGCAACACTTTCCCCGGCCTTGCCCTGCTGGGGGGCCGCCCCGCCCCACCACCCCCACACCAGCCCAAACCCCAGCCCGCCGCACCGCGTGGCCGAGACAAACAAAGACAACTCGAGGCGGGAACCATGCATTTACATTATACCACTGTAAATGGGTTGGCGTCTTATGACGCCAAAATATTGACGTCCTCAATTTAGAACGCCAAATTTTGGCGTCATAAGAGGCCAATTCTTGGCGTCCAGTAAAAGAACGCCAAAATTTGGCGTCTTATGACGCCATATTCTGGCGTCTTTTAGGATTTGGCGTCATAGGACGCCAATGTTTTGGCGTCAAAAGACGCCAACCCATTTACAGAGACTACATGCGAATGAGTTTAACAAGAAAACATCAGATGGACTTTTATAAAACAATGGCACGACTTGGCACCCTTCCCAGGGTGTTCGTGAATCTGCCTTTGTAGGTACTAAAACACTGATATTTAGTTTTAAACTTCTTTTCTTCCATTTGTAATCCGTTTAGTAATAGGTGACAAAATGAAGGAGTGTAAATGTAGGCAGATAGCTGCCTGCCTCGCCGTGGTGTGGTGGAAACGATACTCCCCAACTAAGAAAGCGTCCTGGGGATTATTCTAATGGAGAAACCGAGAAACGCATTTATCCCCGAACAAGATTCTTTCGGTCAGAGCAGGGGACGCAAGGGGGCGCAACAAAAGCCGCACGCGTGTGATTTCTGAACAGACCCCCCCCCCCCCCCCGTGGATAGGGAAGAAAGGGTGAGCAGGGGGGGGGGGGGGGGAGGTTCTGCGAGGAATTTGTATAATTGCAAGGACAACTCACTGGCGAGGTGTTTGCTCGTTAGGGGGCCCCGCACCGCACGCCACCCCGCCGCGGCACTCGCACGCGGAGTGTCGGGTTACCGTCGCAGTGGTCGTCGTCGTGTGGTGGCTTACCGCCCCAGTCACGAAGCGCCGCGCGCGAAGCGCTCTCAAACCTTGGCGCGAGGTCAAGTTATTAGAACCGAAACGGAACGGACGTGACTCGTGTCTCCGAGTCGTACTTGTTTATGGTTTCCCGCACTCCTCCCTAGCCCACGATATTCGGAGTGACTAAAAGTTTTTGCAAACACTACTATGGCAGAGTAAAATAATGATACGGTACCTATTTCTGCTGTCGTCCTCGTCCT